TCCCTGTGGGTGAGCTCCCTTAAACCACAAGTACCGCCGGTCCGGAAATCAAGACTGGCCGCCAAGCCGATTTATCGGGGGCCGCCCTTCCGTTTCAGACCAGCGCGGTGCACCGCTGAAATTATAGCTGGGAAAGGTGCTGGCGATTTACGAAGTGCTAAACAGTCGGTGGTCAATTGTTCGGAGTGCCTGCAGGACTCTTAGGGGCGGTGCTCTGACTGTGATGTCTCTGGTGCATGTAGTCTTTCAGTGATGGTAGATGTCTGTCCGAGTGGCTTCGTGGCTCAGCAGGTGGTGCCAACCAACAGTCTGTGGGTTTTTCTTGCGTTGTAATTGGGTCTTGAATGACTTTGCTCTGTGTCAGATGTGTGGACTGCCTTGTCTGCACTCTGCTGCTGCTTTGCTGTCCATCCCACTTACCTCCATGTGATTCATTGTAGATGGTGTGTTTCCTGTGCAGTTTGGTTGCTTTGTTGGTGTTGCCTTGTGCTTTGCTGTGCTACTGCTTTGCTGCCTGTCTGCGTGTTTTGCTGCCTGTCTAGGTGCTTTGCTGTGCTATTGCTTTACTGCCTGTTTGCACTCCTTGCCTTTGCATTCTTTGGTTGCTGCATGTTGGTGTTGCCTAGTGCCTCACTGCATTGTTGCTGCGATGCCCGTATGCGTGCCCTGTCGTTCGTTCCATGCAGTTTGCTTTGGCGTTGTCCAGTTGGGTTGCTGGACACCATTGCCCGGTGCTTCGCTGAGTCGTTGCCTGCTGCTATGTTCCAGTTGTTTTGTTGCCTGCTGACAGTCTGATTTCGACAAGGGTCAAACCGCTCATGACCCAAAGCATCAAAATGGGGATTCCGCAGATTGTCGAGGGTTCGGCCTTCTGATCAATCGGTGCAAGTCCGACTAAACAATCTATGATCATCAGCTTTTCCTTTCTCGCTCCTTATTTTCTTGCTTGTTGTGGTCGTCTTAACAATCTATGATCATCAACTTTTCCTTTCTCGCTCCTTATTTTCTTGCTTGTTGTGGTCGTCTTTCCCTTGTCTTCCTTGGTTGCGTGGTCTCTGCCCTCTCACCTCCCCCATGCCCTCCAGCCTGTGTTGCCTCTTCTCTTGCTGCTTTTTGCCTGGCTATGTTTGTCTGTTTGTCTGCGGTTTTTTCTAAGTGTGCTTGTGTTAGTGTTTGAAAGAGTGCCATGAGGCGAATCCGTTTCCCGTTGGTGGGTAGTTACTTGTGAATAGCCTTCAAGTCTGTGTGCATGCTCTTCGCCTGGGGAGTTGAGGTACGACTTGTACCAAAGAGTAGCGTACACATGTAAAAACACACACCCACACAACCCCCCCCCCCCCTTCCCCCACCACCACCACACACACACACACACACACCCAACAAATAAACAATTTAAATCTCTCTTTCTGCCGTAAATAAGGTCGTAGCAATTCAATATAAATGTTGATATTTGTTGCCATATTATGGACATATTAGGTTCTGTAAGGTGCCCCACCGAATTTGAACACGGCCCGTGTGATTGTAGAACTCGCTTGCACTAAATGAATGTACCATTAGTGGTCGTTTGGCTTTTGGGCTTGGAAGTCTTTCTGTTGAGGCTCCCACGTGCCAAGACCAAGAATAGAACTTAGTCCCATTTATAAGAGATTCTGGAAAGATGGCTGTAAAATCGTCGTCGAACATGGCTATCCTCTCTTTTTTGGTTGGCCTCTTTATCTGTTGTTCGGTCTCTCCGTGTCAGTGTCTCTCCCTTTCTGCTTGTCTGTCTGTTTGTTTGTCTACCTGCCTCTCTGTGTCAGTCTCTCTGCTTCTCTGTTCGTCGATATGTTTATTTCTCTCTCTCTCTCTCTCTCTCTCTCTCTCTCTCTCTCTCTCTCTCTCTCTCTCTCTCTCTCCACATGGGATCCTGGGTGTGCTCGTAGTGATGGCCTTCTTTTGTCCCGAGCTCTTTGTGAACCGTCTGTGTGTGTGTGTGTAATGTTTCTCTATTTGTGTTGCATACCGTATAGGTGCAGACCAGAACAAGAACCGACCTTTCAATTCAAAGTATAAGATAGCACAGCGGAAGACTTAGATACTAGTGATCCGAACAATCAATGTTGTAATGCAGCCCTGAACATACATCATCATCATCGTTTCATAGTGTGAATGGGTCTGGTGCTTCACACAGGAAGACAGCGCCAGCCCAGAACATGCACAGATGAGGAGGAAGGGGATAAACGAAGAGGAGGGGGAAGATGGGAATGTCGTCAACACCAAGTCTTCGGCACAAGCCCAAATAGTCCCTCGTC